TTCTAATTCAATTTCTAATTTATTTGTATGCTCTTGCAATTCATCTATTTTTTCAATTAAATTTTCATATTTTTCTTTCCATGCTTTCTTTTTCTTATTATTGTTATTATTACTACTATTAATTGATCTATTATAACAATCATATATTTGTCTCTTAATTGGGACAATTTGATTTTGTTGATTTTGTGATTGTGATGTTGGTGCAACTGTATTTGTATTTGTGTTTGTGTTTGTATTTGTATTGAGATTTAAATATGGTAAAGCATCAATTGGTTGAGAAGAAGAATAGTCGATGTTGTTGTCAAATGATGCAATTAGTCTATTATTATTATTATTATTGGTTGCAGTGCTGGTGGTGTCAGTGGCAATCGTGATTTGTGATGAGGCATCAGTAATAAAAAGATTATTGTTATTGATATTGCTAATATTTTTCTTTTTTTCTTTTTTACTATGATTATTAAATGGAGAAAAATTAGCAAAGATATCATCAAGTTTGGTGCTGTTTAAACCAGAATCACAATTACTACCGCTAAAAGTAGCATTATTACTTCTACTGGCTATACTATTACTGCTGCTGCTGCTGCTGCTGCTATTATTAGAATTACTATTTTTAATTTGATCTTGAATTTTTATTGATTCTTTAGCAATTAAATTTTTGTGATTATCAAAAATTCTAGGTGTAAATGATGAAAAAGCATAGGAGGAAGATAACAGATCTTCAAATTTAAAATCTATTATTTCTTGTGGTATAGCATAATCATGACCTAAAATTTTCAAATGCTTAACCAAGTTTTCCATTTTTAAAATATTTTTTGACCATTTATTTTGTAAATCTATCAACTTTTTTGAATCCTTTTTAAGATATGTTTTAGATAATTCAGTGAAATCACAAAGTAAATCTGATATTTTATCTAGCTGATCATAAAGCCTAGTACAAGATGCCATCATTTCTGAATGTCCTGTCATGTTATCATCATTATTACCACCGCTACTTTTGTTATTTTTAGCAGTTCCAAAATACTTTCTTCTTACCAGTTCCATATCAATGTCATCCAACATAATGGTATTACAGTTGGTAGATCTTGATGATTGTTGCATTGTGTTTTTATTTAATTTATATTTTTTTTTTATTTTAGGCCTAAAAGGTCACCGAAAATTTTGACCAGCCCATTAGAATTAAATTCATTGTGATGTCCGTAGTGACATAAATTTTAGATCTTTACCAAAATTAGAAATTTAGAAGAATTTTTATGGAAAGTGAGCGTGATCACAGCGAACAAAAATGATATTTACTTAAAGTCAAATTATACTTTGAACGACAATCAGACAAATCACGATTGAATGATAATAAATTGAGATTGATAAAAATATATTGAATTTAATCAAAGGACAAGCAGAAATTGATGATAATTAAAAACTTAATACATAAATAAATTTTTATATTTTTTAAAAAAAATATTGTTGGGAACCGGTTTGGGTATAATCGATTTAAACCCAGTTCCCATTTTTCATACTTAATATTACGATTTATTCAGTTCAAAATCAATTTATTTATTTAATGGTTACAATAATACAATTTCTTCCAATTTGTAACAACAATTTCCGCAAATTAAGGCGAACAAATCAATTCAATTCGAACCGAATCAAATAACCTAATTTTGATTCGAATTCGAATTGTACTTTGATTTGATTCGAACTCGACCACATATCCAGTATGAATCTATATAAATCATCAGAAACGTCTCCTTGAACAACAATTTCTTCATTTCCTTTGATTATTTTTCATGCAGATGATTCACACGCAAATTTATTTGCAAACAATTTTGCTGCTTTTCTCAATTCAATGAAATTTAAAACTCTTTTTCTGTAAATTACCAAAATGATGTAAACCATAAACATTTGTGATACTTGTTCGTTTATTTCGTGCAATACGTGCGATTAATTTGTTATTGTCATATTTATGTCAATATTTTTAAGTAAAAAAATTTTTTGTCGATCCTGATCGTCTCGACGAACTTTTGTTACAATTATGACAACGAATTTAGGTGGTCGGTCCCACACTTTTGTTATGACAAGGTTAGAGTGTATTAGTATATTGCTTTGTATTTGTGTGACATACAGTTGTGGCTAAAAAAAAGTTTGGATAAAAAAAAATTTTTTTTGGACAATTATAAAAAATGAAAAACACTAAAAATGAAAATAAACATTATGATGATGAAGACCCATATATTAGAAAAAAACATTATGGGGAATGTCCAACATGCAATAAATATAACACTAATAGAGCATGGTGTCAATCATGTGGTCCAAAGCTATTAACTGAGGGATGGACTAGTGGCAATAAAACATTAGATGAGTTGATTAAAAGTACACAACTTAAAGCAACTCGTTATGGTACTCATTATGGTAATTATGGTTATCTTCAATGGATTCCTTATAATGATTTAACAAATATTGAAAAGGTAGATGAAAGTAGGTTTGCAACTATATACAAAGCTACTTGGTTAAATGGTTATAAAAGTGCAAATTATATTAGTAACAAAAGAACTAGCAAAGATATGCCTGTGGTATTAAAAAAACCACACAACCCACAGAATATTTTTGATGAATTTCTTAATGAGGTAAATTGTAATACTAGTTTCAGATTTTTTAAAATATTATTGATTATTATTGTTGTAATTAATATCCTATTTGTTATTTTAGTTCAAAAATTATAAGAAGTTTCATGATAAAATTTATATTTATGGGTTAGCACAAGATCCAATTACGAAAGAATATATATTTGTAATGCATTGCATGGAAGATGGAAGTTTTCAAAATGATGAATATTCAAAGAAATGAGGAGAAGGGAATAATGAATGTACAACCTGCTATAGATATAATACTGATTGGTTATGGTGTCAATCATGTGATCAACTGAAGGATGGACCAGTGGCAATGAAACATTAGATGAGTTGATTAAAAATACACAATTTAAAGCAACAAAAAATGATAATCGTAATTATTTTCAATGGATTCCTTATAATAATTTAGCAAATATTGAAAAAATAGGTGAAGGTGGGTTTGCAACTATATACAAAGCTACTTGGTTAAATGGTTGTAAACATACTGATAAATCTGTTGCTGATGATGATAGGACTGTAGCATTAAAAAAATTACATAATTCATCAAATATTTCTGATGAATTTCTCAATGAGGTAAATTATTTTATTAATACTGGTTTCAGATTTTTTAAAACACTATTGATTATTATCATTGTAATTAAATATTTATTGTTATTTTAGTTCAAAAATTATGTAGCAATTCCTCCAAATCTATATATAATTCATATTTATGGATTAACAAAAGATCCAATTACAAAAGAATATATATTTGTAATGGATTATAAAAAAGATGGAAGCCTTCAAAATTATTTAGCAAAAAATTTTAAAAATTTAAAATGGAAAGATAAACTTAATATCCTTTGTTTTATTATTAATGGTTTAAAAATTATTCATGAAAAAGAAATTATTCATCGTGATCTTCATAGTGGTAATATTCTTCAAAATGAGGCACATACTTCATATATTACAGATTTAGGATTATCATGCATAGCTAGTCAAACATCTGCATCAAACAAAAATGATATATTTGGAGTTATACCATATGTTGCACCAGAAGTTTTTAGAGAGAAGCCATATATAAAAGCATCAGATATATACAGTTTTGGAGTTCTGATGTCTGTAATATCAACTGGTCAACAACCATTCAATAATTTACCACATGATTTAGACCTTGTGATGAAAATATGTGAAGGTGTAAGACCTGGATTTTCAAATAACACACCAAAATTCTATATTGAACTAGCATTTAGATGCATGGATGCTAATCCAGATAAACGTCCAACTGTTGAAGAAATTGATGGGATTATTAAGTCTTGGTTCCATTCAGTTGATTATGAAATATAGCTAGTTAAAAATCCTTTTATGGATAGATCTGCGTTACACACATTTAATAGACTTTTCAAAAAAAGATCTACAATTTATATGTAAAGAGTATTGTAAAATCGAAAAAGTACCACTTAGAAAAGTGGCGCTGCACACACTAACCAACACCATTTCAAACTTTGCAAAATAATTCTATTTTTATTTTTACTTTAAGATCAAGTTTGAGCTTACTCAGATCAAGTTTGAGTTTTGACTTTTATTAGTACCAAAGTTTACCATAAATTTCATTTATTTCGGTCATAACATCCAAATTTGTTGATGATCTACATGCTCAAATGCGCGTCAAAAAATCAAAATAAGTCTCACTTTTTATTTCATTATTAATAAAAATGAACAAAAGTACAAAAAGAAATTTTGGTCCTTGCATAGTATGTGGCAATCAAGAACCTAATAAAACTTATAGAAAGATTAATGCACAAAATATTTTAAAAATAAGTCAAAGTCCTAATATTGAAAATATAAATTTTCAAGTTGATGACCAATTGTGTCAAAAGCATCACAATGAATTAATTAATTATGATCGTAATAATAACCCCAAAATTGGACAAAAGCAAAAAAGTAATAAAGATAAAAGTTATCATCAAGGTGGAACATATCCAAAACGTGTTTGTTTGACCCAAGAAAAATATGAAAATTTAATTGAAAAAATAGATGAATTGCAAGAGCATACAAATAAATTAGAAATTGAATTAGAA